CTTGGCATTGGGCAACCTCTTATTTATCTAGAAGGTCCCATCTTTTCCCCTTCGCTTGAAAGCATTTTTTTTTATTGATTACATTTCATTTTTGTGACCATTTTTTTTTTAAATTGCAAAGTCAGATATACAGAGAGGAAGATCTTCCGCCCAATGATTCACTCCCCAAGTAACTGCAATGGCCGGTGCTGTGCCAATCCAAAGCCTGGAGCCCAGATCCAATTCCGGGTCTCCCACGCAGGTGCAGGGTCCCAAAGGTTTGGGCTGTCCTCGACTGCTTTTCCAGGCCACAAGCAGGGAGCTGAATGAGAAGTGGAGCTTCTGGGATTAGAACCGGCACCCATATGGGATCCCGGTGCATTAAAGGCAAGGACTTTAGCCACTAGGCCACGCCGCAGGGCCCTAAAGCAGTTTTTTTTAGAATTTGGTTTTCAATACTCATTTCCCCTTGCAAATCTTTGTTTGCAATCACAGGCTGTAATGGTATCCGTGCCATGGCTTTGGCTTGTCTTGTTCTTGGTCAAGGTCCAGGGAGACCCAGCGGCTAATATTTGTAGGTAGGCCATCAAGAACAATGCAAGGAACCAGCGACTTCTCTGGAAGACTGGATGGACTTTAGGGGGGCATCAAATAAAGAAGAAAATCCAGAATCATGTTCCATTCATGTATTCAGACACTTTGGAGCAAGATCAAGAAGCTTCTGGGTTGTGATGGTTCTGCTCCATCGAGTGGAACCCAGCCTGCCCGTGAGTAACACCAGGGATCCAGAGCAACCGGGAGCGTGGCTGCTGCGGCTCCTACAGCCACCTTCTCAGGCCTCTTGGAGGAGCACAGGACCTGGGTCGTCCAGGGCAATCTGGGTGGTGGCGGTGGGAATGGGGTGGGGGTGGGGGGTCTGTTTTAGATTAACTGCAGGATTGATTATGCCAAGAGGTCAATATTTACCTTGGCTTCGGCTTGCCGAGTCTTCACGTCTCTGTCCGGTGGCTCTCGCTGCTGACTTCAGCACAAGTGGGGGTCTGCTTTGTGTTGGCTCCGAAAGGATGCTGACTACAATGTTCTTATCACATGGGGCCTGCAAATGTAGCTCCGTGAGCTTGCTGCTCCTGTGGCCCCCCTCTAGATATGAGAGGGGCTGGCTCCAGGGCGCTTTCCCACCATCAGAATGGCCCGGAGCAGGAGACCCCAGGTGGCAGCTGGAGAGGGGCATAAAGACCAAGGAAGCCTCTGAGACTGGGGGAGACTTGTTTGTTCTGCTTATTTTTTATCCAGCTTGTTGGGAGAGGAGGCACTGTGTTTACCCATGGTCGGTCACAGAGGAGTGAGCAGAGGCCAGCACAAAAAACCCAGGTCCCTGCTCCAAGCCTGGGATGCAGGATTCCTCGGGCTCCCAGGAACAGACAGTGGCCCCTGATGCCTCCTCGAGAATTTTAGCATCCCTTAGGGAGAAAATGCCGAGGATACCTGCTTAAATATATATACACTGTATTTGAAAGGTAGGATTACATACATACACGCATACACAGAGTCTTCCTTCTACCCATGTGAGGAGTGATTCGAACATCCCATCTTGGACTCTGAGCCATTTCCTCCTCCTCACAGCTCACGGAATTCGCCTCGTGCTGGTTATCCAGCAATCAGATGTAACCCGAGAATCCACACTCCCCAGTCTCTGGCGCCTCCCCCTAGTTTCCACCCACCTACCTGTGGCTCAGATATTCTCAGTCCCCAGTCCCTGGGGGCCAGAGCACACAGCCCACACAGCCCTCCCTTCTTCCCCCTCTCTTCCTTCTTACCTAGCTCTTCCCCATCCCCCTCCATCTTGTCCCTTCCCCTGCCCTGGCAGCCCCCATCCTGCCACCATGGCTCCTGTTGTGTCCCCTCCAGTTTCCCCCTTCCTCTACCCTGGCTCCTGTTCCTACTTTGCTGGAATAAAGGACCTACTAAGCACCTGGCTGCGTCTGGGATTTTGGCTTGCGGTAAATATCGTGACTAGAGGACTTGGCTGTGGGAATTAGCTGCGTGTAACAATGTAAGAACTTTAGGAACTGTAAGTGAGTTAAAAACCTAACACCCGGGCCCAGTGGCATGGCCTAGCAGATAAAATCCTCGACCTTAAACGCACGGGGATTCCATATGGGTGCCGGTTCTAATCCCAGCAGCTCCACTTCCCATCCAGCTCTCTGCTTGTGGCCTGGGAAAGCAGTGTAGGACAGCCCAAAGCCTTGGGACCCTGCACCTGCGTGGGAGACCTGGAAGAAGTTCCTGGATCCTGGCTTTGGGTTAGCTCAGCTCTGGCTGTCACAGACACTTGGAGAGAGAACCAGCAGATGGAAGATTTTCCTCTCTGTCTCTGTCTCTCTCTCCTTCCCTCTAGAAATGTCTTTCTAATACAAATTTAAAATTAAAAAATAAGGTTCTATTTTAAACTATGGCTATATCAAGTGTATCCCCTCTGAGAAAGCTCCCAGGATCTTGGGTATGACCCTATTTGCATATTTGAGATGTGTGAAGTCCTTCAACTTCACCCTCACAAAGTCCTGAAATGAACAATGGTGGTGATGAATGCTTACTGAACAAAAGAGGATGCTGGTGAGGACCAGAGAGGGCAGGTGGTTCCCCTGGATCCCACAGCACAGCAATAGGGAAGCTGGGCCGGAGGGATTGAACTTGATGCCAGCTCTCTCACTGATTTCCTGCACCTGGATGTTTGTTCACCATCTCAGTGGATCCCCCACCCCGCCCAGCCCTGTTTGCAGAGCCTCCCCACCCTCCCATTTTCATGCCTTCCAACAAAGAAACATCTAGAAGATGTGGACTACACAGGCTTTGCATCAGCATTAGCTTTCACTGTGCTGGGCCCACAGAGACTGACTGCTACACTGTTGCGATGTCCAGCCGACACGAGGACAAGGACAGAAGTGGGACCACTGCTTCTGGAATGTTTCTATCATCTCCTGCGCCATGCCATACAGCAGCATGTCCTCATATCTCCGGGACCCCTCCAGCTGGGGTGCAGCCCACGGGGTGCTGGAGACACAAGCTCCCAAGACTCCCTAGGCTTCCAGGGCTGATCCCGGGACGCCTGCAGGATGAAACCGGTTTGCAACCACAAGGAATGCTGCATGTCTCCAAGCTCGCAGGACAGGGGCGGGCGTTAGGTAGGGGGTGCAAGGGGGGAAGATGGGAGACAGAGCTGACACATTCCTTGGGGAGAGGATGACCTCATCATTTGTCAGGTATTGGCCAACTGCCCTAGGAGCACAGTTGGAATTCCTTTTGGAGGAGGCAGTGAGAACCCCCTTGATAACCCAAATTCTCTAAATCTTTTAGGCCCCTAGGGGGAAGGATAGAAGGCAAGAGGAAGAGGAAGGAAACAAGATTCTTGTTCCTGGCCACATGTAGCGGAGACCCAGGATTGGGAAGTGAAAAAATCAGGTTCCCAGGAGAGCAGGGGGACTGGGAGGTGCAGCCTGGGGCAGGGGCTGCCAAGGGTCTCTTGGGGCATGCAATGAGAGGGGGACTTCAGGAAGTTTCTAGAACACAGAGACAAAGGTTAAGTTAGTTTTGATGCTAAAGATTTTAAAGTCCATCCCTACAAGGGATCTTCAAAAGATTGATGAAAAATGCACATGGTGAAAAGCTTAGGGCTTAGGCACAGACTTCAATAGTGCTCACACCAAAGCAAACTTGAAGTTCCATTTCTTAAAAAAAAACCAAAAACCAAAAAACAAGATCAATAGTATTGATTTGAAAGGCACAGTGGCAGAGAGAGGAGACACAAAGAGAGAAAAGGAGAGATTTTTTTCCATCTGCTGGTTTACTCCCCAGATGGCCACAACAGCCAGGGCTGGGCCGAGTTGAAGGAGCTTGGAACTTCATTTGGGTCTGCCACCTCGTTGGCAAGGTCCCATGCATTTGAGCCATCCTGCTCTGCTTTTCCCAGGAGCAGTAGCAGGGAGCTGGATCAGAAGTGGAGCAGGTAGAACTTGAATGTTGGACCCTTACCCCATTCCCTGTACTTACGTATTCACTCCTTTGAAAACTTTGGAAACCAGGAGCCTGGGGCCTCTGCCAGCCTGTTGACACTTTCAGGAAGATGAGGCACGGGCTTCCAACCTGGGCAGCGGAGTGCGGTTACATCTCAGGTCACATATGCCCTGAAGGTAGGGTTCAAGCACCGATGCCCTGTCCACACAGGGTGCCTTCTGAGTCTGTGGTTCACCCGGGGGAGGGAGGAAGAGGAGGGAAAAAAATAGTCAGCTGGTAAGGGGGCAGCTGGAGCGAGAAAGGAATGGCTTCCCTGGCCCGTGGAGGGTTGATCCCAGAGCCTGCCCAGAGAGGGTAGGCCTTTTGCTAGTGTTCACTTTAGAAACAAAAGCTACTTATCTTTTTCATTTATTTTTGCTTTTTTTTTTTTTTTTTTTTGAGAAAGGAATGGCTTGCTCCCCAAATGCTCCCAATGGGCCAGGCCAAAGACAGCAAGCAGCCTGGAGTCCCACGTGAGTCGCAAAGGACCCTAGAACTTGAGCCATTATCTGCAGTCTGCTAGGAGGAGCATCAGCAGGAAGCTGGAATTCCAAGCCAGGACTCGAACCCAGGGCTTCGGACATGGCAGCCAGCCTGCTCAACCCTAGGAGGAACCTCAATTCACACAGTTGCCTCCCTTCTCCCCGCCCGCCTCGGCCCCGCGGCCCCGTACCCAGTCCCTTCCACCTCCCGCAAGCGCAGAGGCCCCGGGCCGCCAAGGGTTAATAAGGAAGCCCCACGCCCCCTTTGACGGCGCTGAGCCCACCTCACCGAGTCTGAAAAAGGCGGCCTCGGGGAGGCGTGGGGCGCCCCCCTACCCCCGCACCGCCCCAGACAAACTCCCAGCTCGGAGACGGCTGCGCTCGCTTCCCGGCCGGGGCCGCGGGTTCGGTCCGGCCGCGGGCGCGCTGCTCATTGTCCTCGCGCCGGACACTGCGGGGACTCCGCGTCCCCGCGGGCGGCCGCGCAGGATGAAGCTGGCCCTGTTTCTGCCGTGGGCGTGCTGCTGCCTGTGCGGGTCGGCGCTGGCCACCGGCTTCCTCTACCCTTACCCGGCCGCAGCCCTGCCGCAACCGCACGCTTACCCGGAGCCGGCCGCCGGCTCCCCGGGCAGCGGCTACGCGAGCCGCCGGTGAGTGAGAGGCTCGGCACGGTGGGGACCCCGAAGATCGTGGGGGTGTGGAGGGTGTGTGTGTGGCCTGGGGCGCGGGCTTTGGGACCTCAGGAATTTTGAACAGGGAGGCTGGAGGCGCAGACAATTGGGGATCGCGAGAGCCGGGGACTGGGACAGCCGGGTCTGGAGGGGCGACGAGTGGGGGGCGCACAGGGCAGGGGGTCTGAGGGTGGGGCCCGGGCTGAGGGCTGGTGGGGGGAGACTCTCTGGCCGCGCCCACTCTCTTCCCTCCTTTCTTTGCTTTTCCCAACCTCCGCCCTCCTGAGGGGCACAGAAAGTGCGGCGTCGGCGCCCGCGGTGCGGCTCCCCGGGACGTCCCCCGGCCCACGTGGCTGCGCCGCGCTCACCTGCGCCACGGCGCTTTGTGTGGCGCCACAGGTTGGCGGGGTTGTCCCGGGCCGCCCGAGGTGGCCACGCCGTGCAGTCCGTGGTGCGTGTGCGCGCTGAGGCCGCGGGAGAGCCAGTCCCCAGGCCTCCAGCGCCAACCCCGGGGGGCTCGGCTGCAGCTCTGCGCTGGACCCGGAGAGCCCGCGGACCGACCCCTGGCCTCGCCGACACCAGGTGGCGTCCTGGCCACCCCCCTTCCCGCCCACTCCACCCCGGAGGCTTCGCGCCGCGTCTTCACCCGCCCTTCTGTCCCAGCCGCAAAACGCGAATCGGCGGCGCTGGCGCCACCCGCGGGAACTCGAGCTCCCGCGCTGACTGGCAAGTGCGACGCGCGCGGATTCTGGTGGCGCCCTGGCACACGGCCCGGACCCGTGTGTGCGCCCTCAACCCCTCCCTCGCCAGCGTCTCCCCGGAAGGGTGGGGGGCGTGGAGCTCAGGACCTGAAAGGGGCCTGTTCCCTGGTAAGCGGCTAGGGATACAAAGATATTCATGGCAACAGCCCAGGAATCGACCTGCAGGTGTGTGAACGCCCAGGAAAGCTATTTGCGTAAGTGGCTGTTCTAGAGAGCGCTGGGGCTGCGCCAGGGGCTCTGTACCCCATCTCCCCAACCCCACCCTGGGTCGCAGGTCTTTGAAAAACAAATGTGTACCGCTGCCTCTGCAGACTCGGTTTTGCTCTCCTTGTTCCACTAAACAACGCAGAGTAGCAGCTGTTTCCTTAGCGGTTACCTGACTCTGGATTCTGTGAGGTCTACAGGAGGGAGTGTGTAAGCTCCGGCTAAACACCGTGTCATTTTATATGACAAACTTGAACAGGTTCAAATTTTTAAAAAAAAGTTTATTTGGGATCCGGTGTTGTTCCATAGTCAGCAAAGCCGCCACCTTACAGTGCCAGCATCACCTATGGGCTCCAGTTCGAGTCCCAGCTGCTCCACTTGTGATCCAGCTCTCTGCTAGTGGAGTGACAGAGAAATAGAGAGAGATTTTCCATCCACTAGTTCACTCTTCAAATGCCCACCACAGCTAGGTCTGGCCCCGGGCAGGAGCCAGGAGCTTCTGCTAAGTTTCCCACATGGGTGCAGGTGCCCAAGCACTTGGTCCATACAGTGTATTTATACTTATGCTATTTCAAAGGCATGAAAACAGAGAGAGAGAGAGAGAGAGAGAGAGAGAGAGAATCTTCCATCTGCTGGGTCACTCCCTAAAGGCTTGCAACAGCCAGGGCTGGGCCAGGGCTGAAGCCAGGAGCCAGGAACTCCAACATGAGTGGCTGAACCTGAAGACTTGAGTAGTCACCATTGCTCCCCAGGATGTCAGTTAGCCAGAGCCAAGCATGTTCCAGGTACCCCAATAAGGGAAAGGAGCATTTTAACTTCCAGGCCGACTGTGGGCCCCTGCACCCAGCTTTTTGCCCCTGTATAACGTGGACACTGCTCTGTGACGGGAATCACCAGAGTGGATGCAGTGGGTCCTTAGCTGAGGAACCTGATGTGTTGTTACAAGGCCGTGCTAAGGTGCTAACTTGAATCCTGTCAGTGGGATGGGGTGGGGTTACATTGTAGCACCCAGGGGTTCTACAGGAAATAGGGACCCAGGACAAAGGCACAAGTGTGTACCTCTCACATATGTGGTGACACATCTGGGGTTGCAGGTCAGATATAATCTGGGAACAGGTATTGTGTTGTGGTGGGTTGGGCTGTGACTTATGGCAACTGTAACCTCTATCAGAACACTGGTTCGGTTCAAGTCCTGGCTGCTCCGTTCCTGATCCGGCTTACTGGCTGGTGCACCTGGGAGGCAGCAGGTGGTGGCTCGCACAACTGGGTCCTTGCACTCAATGCAGAAAACCAGGATGGGGTTCCTGGCTCCTGGCTTCAGTTGGTCTCAGCACTGGTTGTTGCCATTTGGGAAGAGAACCAACAGAGGGAAGATCTTTCTCTTACTCACTGTCACTCTGCCTTTTACTGAGTGAAAACAAAAATCTTTAATCAGTAAATATATATACACACATATTCTACTATTGGGCCTTGACAAGCACAGTGCCTAACACCTGGGACTTGAGGCAGGGGGGCCACCCTCTGCTGCTTTCCCAGGCGCATTAACAGGGAGTTGGCTTGGCAGCAGAGCAGCCAGGACTCGAACAGGTGCTGCTATGGTATGCCTGTATTGTAGGTGATGGTGCAAGGGCTTGTGTAGGGGAGTCTGGGAACCCACTCTTCTCATATGCAAAGTGGGGTTACTCCTACACTGACTTCAGTTCACACCATGGATGAGCCCTTTTCTGGGGAACCCTAACACATTTGGAGAAATGCTGGCTTCGGTAGACGAGGCTAAATCCGGGGGACTTCCGGGACGCATTGTGGTTGGAGGGTGAGCAGGATTCTTGGAGGCAGACGGACACCTAGGGCAGCCACCTTGGGTGTCATAGGATAGAAGCTGGCTGATGTGGACTTGGGGTGGCTTTGGAGTGGCTGGGCCAGGGCGGCGGCCTGGCAGGGGCTGTGGATGGCGCAGAGGGAGGGGACACTCAGAGCTGGCTGTGGACATCCTGGCTGGTCTGCAGCCCCCTGCTGTGCTTCCCTAGCTCACAAAGACTTGACGATTTTCTCCTTTGAAAAGACAATGAAGCCCACAGCTGATATCCACTGTGCTTTTGTAAAACATAGCCGTTCCTCCTCCTTTCCTCCAGGTCTGCCATCATCTCAATGCACCAGGGTAGTATTGCAGGGTCCTGCACACATGGCCTCGGATGCTGTCGATACCATGTGCGTGGTCGTTAGACCACGCTGCTGAGAGCTGCGTGTCCTGAGCAGACGGAACATTTTCTGGCCGACTGTGTTCAGAATGCAGCAACCACAACTGCGGGTGCGGGGTCTGGAGACAGAGAGAGCCCAACTGTGCCCTTCAGTTCTGCCATGGAGTTCTCATACCCGGCTTTCGCCACCTCGCCCTGGCTGTGCACGAAAGAGCCCAGTGTTTGCTAAGCATGTGCATGAGAACAAATGGATGGATGGATATACAGAAGCCTCCTCCTCTTCCTTCTGCAATCCTGGGGGACCCAAGAGGGAATTCCTCCTCCGAGCTTGATTCCCACCTCCAGGAGTCACTTCTTCAAGGGACCACGTAGGTGGCCATTGGCTTAGTGCCTTGAAGTGGAGGCACAGGGCTGCACACCCATGTGTGGCAAGGCATTTGGCAAAATGTTGGCTCTCCTCTTTCCCCATCCCATCCCTCTTTCCCCTTCAGCTTCTCTGTTAGTTTAAAAGCCATTCCCAGGACTGCAGCCGCAGGAACACAGCTCTGGGTTTCTCTCTCTTGGTTCCAGCTGGGCCTACCGACTCCTCCACTGTCGCTGCTGGAGAGTGTGTGTGGGGGGGAGCTGGAGCCAGCCCAAGAACGCCTGTGGCGGGGGGAGGGGAGCAGCAGTCACCACCAAGAGGATTCGCAGGAATGCGTTCTCTGCACAGGGTCTCCCAGGGACCCTGCCGACAGTCCTGTTGACTTGTAGTCATGGGCCCCGCCCATCCAGGCATCCAGGAGTCCCAGCTTCCTTAGACCCGCCTCCCTGTACCTGCCTCCCAGGCATGGGGCTTTGGAGACCTGCAGGAGACCATCCCAGTGCCACTGTTGGTAAGCTTCCGCCTCCAATGCCAGCATCCTACATCTGAGTGCAGGTTCGAGTCCCTGCTGCTCCAGCTTCCTGCTGAGACATGTGGGAAAGCAGCCAAGGATGACCTAAGCCCTTGGGCCCCTGCCACTCACATGGGAGACCTGGATCAGCACTGGCTGCTGCGGGCATCTGGGTGATGAAAGAATCATTAGATGGAAGAACTCTTTCGGTGTGTGTAACTCTGGCTTTTAAAAGAAATATTTATTCATTTATTTATGAAAGGTATATTTACAAAGAGGAGAAACAGAGAGAAAGATCTTCCATCCACTGGTTCACTCTCCAAGTGACCACAATGGCCAGGGTTGAGCCGATCTGAAGCCAGGAACTTCTTCCAGGTCTCCCACGTGGGTGCAGGGTCCCAAGGCTTTGGGCCGTCCTCGACTGCTTTGCCTGGCCACAAGCAGGGAGCTGGATGGGAAGTGGGGCTGCTGGGATTAGAACCGGCGCCCATATGGGATCCCGGCACGTTCAAGGCGAGGACTTTAACCACTACGTTATCGCGCTGGGCTCCTTTTTAAAAGTGACTTTGCTTTCATGCAAAAAAAAAAGTTTGAAATCCATGTGTATGATAGGTTTTGATCATCTTTCTGCACCCAATAGACCTCTTATTTTTCTATTTTAAAATTTTTGATTTACATATTCTTATTTATTTTGAAGGTAGAGAAAATGAGAGAAACAGAGACAGCTACAGAAAACTTCCATCTGTGGGCACTTTCCTTGAATGCTTTCCAACAGCCAGGGACAAGCCAGGCTGAAGCCAGGAACTCCCTCGGGTCTCCCACATTGGTGTCAGGGACCCAAATACTTGATTATCCCCGACTCCCAGGGAGTGCCTTAGCAGGAAGCCGTGAGAACTTCAGGCACTCCAAGGATGAGATGCTGGTGTCCCAGGCCATGTTTT